TAAGGGTTCCGCTTAAGTAGCCTAGACATAGGACCTTAACCCGAGGTTGCGACTATTTCCATCCTAAAACTAAGATATATCTCATAATAGACATATTAGGGAATGTCTTAGGACTTTGAACTTGCTTAGACATAAGTCAAGTGAGAAGCGTAGTCGTTGGTTTCTAAAGTAAAATGCATATTGTCCTTAGCATGTCCTTGATTCTTTGTTGGCTAACTTGAAGTAATTCGGGCTAGGTTTTATTATTATAAGTCCAAATCCCAAATCCAAAACCATTATTTGTGACCACTTCCCATTTTACAAGAATCACTCATTTCAACATTCACTATTCTTTAAAACTTCAGAGTTTGGAAATTATTTAGAAGTCCTTGAGGATCGATACTTGGATACTCCATCCATTTTATATTACTCTGACAGGTGTGCGCTTGCATCTATATAATTTTTACCACGCTTAGTGCGTGCGTTCAGCATAAACGCCCAGTCAAGTTTTTGGCGCCCAGCGAATCGTCCGGTTCCTTAACAACTTGGTTTCTTTTGCCAAAATTTCGACAGGTACCTCTTCGTAGCACAAGGACTCATCTAGTTGTAATGGTTCAGGGTCCAAAACGTGCGAAGGGTCATGAATGTACCTCCTCAGCATAGACACGTGAAACACATTGTCAACCGCTGCCAACGATGGTGGCAAAGCCAACCTATACGCGACTGGGCCGATACGTTCCAAAATTTCAAAAGGCCCAATGAACCTTGCACTGAGCTTCCCCTTCTTCCCAAATCGTAAAATTCCCTTCACGGGTGCCACACGAAGAAACACCCGCTCACCTACCACAAACTCGAGCTCCCTTCGCCTGAAGTCTGCGTAACTCTTTTGACGGCTCTATCCAATTTGCATCCTTCCCCTGATCTTTTGAATGGCACTGTTAGTCGCCTGCACCAAATCCGGTCCCAAGAGAACTCTTTCTCCGACTTTGTCCCAATTAACCGGAGACCGACACTCCTTGCCATACAGTGCCTCGTATGGGGCCATCCCAATTGTGGCCTGAATACTGTTATTATAAGCGCTCTATTAGGTAGAGGTACTTGTCCCAACTACCACCAAAGTCTAACATGCAAGCTCTGAGCATGTCCTCTAAAACCTGGTTTACACGCTCCGTCTGGCCATCGGTTTGGGGGTGAAACGTCGTGCTAAAGTCCAACTTAGTGCCCAGGGACTTGTGTAAAGTCCGCCAAAAAGTCGAGGTGAAACGCGGGTCGCGATCGGACACTATGGATACCGGTATACCATGTAGCCTGACAATTTCCTGTAAATACAGTTCCGCCCATTTTTCTACTGTATACGTGGCCTTGCCGGGAATAATGTGAGCAGACTTGGTCAAACGATCTACAACTACCCAAATCACCGTGAATCCCTTAACCGTCCTTGGTAGTCCTGTAATGAAGTCCATAGCCACATCGTCCCACTTCCAAACTGGTATGCTCAAATGTTGTAGCAATCCAGCAGGTCTTTGTCTTGAAGCCTTTACCTGTTGGCATGTAAAACACTTGCTAACAAACTGAGCTATTGTAACGCCCCGAGTCCCTCAGGTTAGTTAGTCTCGAATCAGGAGATTTTTCAATTAATTTTAAATTGATTGTTAATTAAATTTATCTATATTTATCGGGCTCTAAACTCCAATTAAATTCTTAATTACCGGACTCCGTGTGGTGGGTCTTGTTTTAAGGGGGGGATGGACTTCTTTTCTCTTGGGCTTGGGCTTGTTGGGCCTCTATTTAGGTAATATGGTTTTAAAACAAAACAAAAAGAAAAAGAAAAGGAAAACCCTAAGCTCCCTCTTCTCCTTCATTCTTACTCTAGCTCCCCACCACCCCTCTCCTTCTC